CAACTGTTATAGCCTGGGTAGAGTGGAGGTACCAAATGATACCAGAAGACCTTGTAGGCTGGATACCAGATCGATGTTAAAGGTGAATGCGCTTTACTCAACTCACTTACAAGAGGCACACACGTGGTAGGTACTGTAGCAACAAGGGTAGAGGGAGGCGACAATAGGACGTGGCCGAATTAATTTACAGCGCCAACAGCCAGGACAGGAGGCGGAAAGATGCCACAGCAATTAAAAAGAGAGGTTTACGAATTTTCCTGTCCTACAGATGGCGTTATCTATCGACGAAGCTGACTACTCTTCTGGAAATATACCAAATCAACTGTCCAATGCTGGAAATGATCATAACTACTTCGGAAGAGGAGGTAAAACTGGGTAAATTTATCGAAGAGACAGCGAAAACAAGGTAAAACTGGGTCTGTAGAGGGAAAGAGGACCGCAACCAAACTCAAAGCAACAGCACCTACGAGGAATTTTGTGCAGTTGTACTTTTTAGTGCGCTTAAATTTGTGGATGAAAGCGACCCATAAGATGGTTTAATTGGAGTCCGAGGGAGATCGCAGCTATGACGTGAAAGCATGGTAACATATCCTTGGTCCACTTTCCCCCCATCATGTTGCCGGATCAAGAAAGATCACTGATGGTTTCTGGCTTTGATGAGAGCTGAACACTGATGGATCTGGTTAGCAGGACTATGCTTTGAGGACTTATTCGCATAAATTCAAAAGTTCTAATTACTGAATCTTTATTTAAGTAGTATGGTCGAGTTTAATAGAAGATGCAAGTTTGCATCATCACCAATCTCAACACAAAATGTAATTTAGAATAGGCCTGGCTGGCATATCATCTCTCTTCTGGCCTTTATGCAAGTTTGGGTTCACAATTAAAATCTTCTGTCGGCTTCGGAACGTAGCTAGGATGACTAATATATTCGAATCAAAGTTGGATTTCGGGGAATTACTCGGTGTATACTTGTTGAGTTCACCCCCTTTGGAGGGAAAGTGTGCGATGGAGAGATTGGAATATGGATCCCACCTCAAGACGATTACGGATTCCTCTTGCCCACCTGTCAATTGACTTTACTGCAACATTCTTTTCCACGTTGTTGCCAAGACAACCATATTCAAGTGAATGAGTCGAGAAAATGCATCGACTTATTTCTAAGTGCTTCATGTATGGTTAAAAGAATGATATTATGTTCTGATTATGTCCATCATATGACGGACAAAAGTCTAAAGTCAACGAAAAGGTTCCAGTAAAGCCATTTGACTGTCGTCATCTTCTGGTGGGATCGGTCTTAGAATCTCTTCATCACACACTTTCGCTCGAAGTGGATGTAAGCCCAACAATCAGGTTGACTAAGTATGTGCCAGAATTACACGCATCGTGTATTTAGAGACAGTCGTGTGAGTAGATTCTCGAGGAATTGGTACCAAATGATATCAGAAGGCCCTTTAGGCCGGATGTCAAACCGATGTTGAAGGTGAGTACGTTTTAATGAGCACACATGCCCAAGCCTACTCATATCGAAATTAGACCTACAGAGTGTCGCTTTTTGCAGGAGACTTTCTTATTCTAACAAAATGATACGGATTTACCTCTTGTCATGTCCGAGCCTAGTCGGACCACTGTGACCAGGGGTCGCTGGGCTCGGCTTTCGAGGATCCAGTTTGAGGAAGAATGTCAGCACTGGGGGATGACTGGTTCGTGGCCAGCCGAAGCAAGGTTGGACAGACGGTGGTTGGCTTTTGTGGATATACGGAGGGTCGTCTGTCGGTGAATGTGTGTTTTGATTGTGTGCTGTGCGCCCAGACGTGCATAGATTCACATGCACTTGTAGGGACGCGATACTAGGGTTGTGCAAGAGTGAGTGTGTGTGCATGCAAACAACCACAAATGGATGTGGGCTTAATCCTTTTGGCGAGGGGTGTTGCGAGAGTTCGGCGAGTGCAGTCAATGTCCGACTCCGACTCCAATTCGACGAACAGCCTCAGTTCTCAGACAGACTCAAATTCTGCGCTACTGTCGTCAGGCCGGTAGTCCTGACCTTTTCGGGTGCCAAGACCCGACTTCCGACCGGGCAGATGGACAACCTCGGGCGTT